TGTGATTGATATTTTTGCTGGGTATAGTACTCTGGGTTAATATGGGTGATCTCTTAAGAGTTTGTAGAGCAACCTTCTAGGCCTGTCTGGCCTTCAGATTCTCCATCAAAAAGTGAGGTGTTATAATAATGGATCTGCCTTTATATGTTACTTAGTCTTTTTCCCTTAATGCTTTTAATATTTTTTCTTTTTCCTGTACATTTAGCGTTTTAATAATTCTGTGACACAAGGAATATTTTTTCTGGTTTCATTTATTCAGTGTCTTATATACTTCTTGTTCCTTTATTGATACCTCCATCTCCTTTTTTTGGTTAGGGAAATTTTCTTCTATGATATGGTTAAAAATACTTTCTGTCTATTTGACCTGTTTTTTTTTCTTTCTTCCATTCCTGTTATTAGTAAATTTGGTCCTTTCAGAGAGCCCCAGGTTTCCAGGTGCTTTGTGTTTGGCATTTGTTAAGATTTAACATTTTTATTGACTGAGAAATCGATTTCTTTGACCTTGCCTTCAATGCCAGGCATTCTCTTTCTTATCTCATGGCCTGTTGGTGATGCTTATCTCTGACATTGTTGTTTGATTCTCCTAAATTTTTCATTTCCAATTTATCTCAGTTTGTGCTTTCTTTATTGATTCTATTTTTACTTCATTGCTTTAATTGTTTCACTCCACTGTGTTTTCACATACTTCATTGAGGAATTTATTTAAATTCTCTTTAAGGTCCTTGACCATATTCATAATTGCTATTTTGAAGTCCTTGTCTTGTGCTTTGGGTATATTGAATTTCTCAGGATCTACTATAGTGGGTTACTGGGTGTTATTCATACTGTCCTGGCTGTTAATGATTGTGGTTTTGGATTTGTGTTTAGGCCTCTATGGTTGGGATGATTAAGTTGATTTTAGGTGTTGATATCTAGTCTTGTTTTTGCTGGTTGGGTGTTCTATTGTTTTGGTTTCTGTTGCCCACTCTGGAGTTTAGGAAAGTGGGATTTCCATGTGTGGGTGGTCTGCAGGTCAGTGGGTGGCACAGAGGAACATAACTGGCCTAGGAAAGAAGGCTGAAAGAGATCTCAGGAAATCCTATTCTTATCTAGAAGCGGGGTCCTGGGGAGTTAGAAGTATAGTTGGAAGAGAGGATCTTGCCAGCAGGTTGCAATAAAGCAATGAACTGTCTGTAGAGACAGGGATGGAAGGACTAGAGGAGTCCCGGCAGGGAGAGGTCCCTGTAAACAGCCTGTCCCAGGGAGAGGCCCCTGTAAGCAGCCTGTCCCAGGGAGAGGCCCCTGTAAGCAGCCTGTCCCAGGGAGAGGCCCCTGTAAGCAGCCTGTCCCAGGGAGAGGCCCCTGTAAGCAGCCTGTCCCAGGGAGAGGCCCCTGTAAGCAGCCTGTCCCAGGGAGAGGTCCCTGTAAGCAGCCTGTCACAGGGAGAGGTCCCTGTAAGCAGTCTATCACAGGGAGAGGTCCCTGTAAGCAGTCTATCACAGGGAGAGGTCCCTGTAAGCAGTCTATCACAGGGGTGGGAATTCTGCACTCAGAGTTGTAGGCGTCCCCTTTAGTATTGCTTTTTTCATACCCTGGATGTTTAGTCATGCCGTATTTCCCTTTTTCATTTAACTAAAAAATTTACAACCTTCAAATCTCCCGTGTCCTTTCTCCAATGATTCACTCCAATGATTTCATTCAGAAACACATTGTTCATTCTTGGCTGTTAGCTCGTACGTTCACTCCAGAAAAGGCAGGTGTGTTTCATACTTCTTCAGTTTGTCATGTGTTTTGTTCTATAGAAAAGTTACATAAGTGACAATTCATTTAAAAGCAATTTGAATACAATTTAACATAGTTATCATATTTTAGATCAAGTGGAGAGACAAAACCAGAACTCCAGAAAGACCTTTGAAAGTTCCTTCAAGGTCATGAACGGGAGACTTGGACTAAAATCAGAACTAAGATTTGTATTCAGTCGAAAAACCAAATACTTTTAGAATTTAACCATGGCTAATGACGTAAAAACCCATGGACATTGACTCTATAATAATATTTGATCTTGATAAAACAAACACTCTAGTAAAAGTAGACTAACTACCTAATGTTGCATTAAAGAGACATTAACAGAGCTGGCCTGCTGGCTCAGGCCTGTAATCCTAGCTCTGCGGGAAGACTATAAATTCAAGACCAATTTCAGAAACTCAGCAAGATTCTCTTATAATAAAATAAAATAAAATAAAATAAAACAAAACAAAATTGTGAGTGTGATGCTAGGGTTCAATCCCCAATCTGTAAACAAATAAACAACAACAAGCCACAGTAGAGTTTTCATAAATTACCGACATCCACTCAGGCATCAATGATGTTGTCATTGTTTATTTTGTACACTCATCCATGTTGGCCTCTTGGAATTTTTATACTTCAAATTATGCACATATGTAATTTTACTAATTACAGCCACCAAAAGAGCATTCCAGTGACATCTACGTAAAGAAAAATATCTTTTCAAAGAGTTGGCATCCTAACAAACATTCTTGGGTGTTTGTTACTTGGTACCTGGAGCCTGTAGAATATTCAGCACATTCCCAGACAAACTCCCCCACTACCAGACATGACCAGACTAAGGTGGCCTCTGGAATCTCTACAATGACGTCAGTCTCCTGTAATGATTACTTTAAGAAATGTCAATGCCTCCAGGGGAACTCACTGTTCAAGCTAAAACACTGTGCGAGGCACACAAGCTGCTGAGCTTCTTTAAGGCAGTGTTTCTTTAGAAAGTCTGCAGTTACAAATCCTTCATCTGCTCCTTGAAATCCGAATTGACCCCCTGAAACTGGAGTGGCTACGTGAACGGCATTTCTCTCATTTTCATGTGTGGGAGGTCTGGCTTCAAACTTTCTAAGCTGGAGGCTGTATAACTGGAGGTGGAGACTGCAAATTTTGGCAGCAGAAAAATATTTCTGCATTCTCAACCAAAATGAATTCAAAATCAATTGCACAATAAGACCAAGGTGCTTCTGGAAGAGTCCACTCAGGTTGCACTCTAGTAGCTCACTTGCAGTCTTGCTTCTGAACACACAATATCCACACTACACTGTGTGTGTGTCCTGCTAATCACGTGTGAGTGCTAATTCCAGACTATTGTATGTTATGAGTTTTACAATTTTTTACTGCACATATAAAGTCTTTTGCTCTTATAGAAATATCATAACTTAATTATTGAAAAGAAAGACTTACTATTTTCATTTAGCCACTCCTCAGCATGCAGATAGCAGATTAATATCTATCTATCCATCATATATATAATAGTATTATATTACAATGCTTGACTCTGAAAATTGTTGTTTGATTTACTGACTAAAGCCATAAAAAGCAGTAAATAAACTTTGTTTTGGGATTAGAATAGAACAACTTTGAAAGTGCCCCTAAACATCTGTTTGTATTTTTTTACTATGTATTTATGTGAAACAGTGTTCTCAACATGATGATAAAAATATTCATAAACTCTGAAAAATGTTGAAGAAGCTCCATGCTTTGCAACATCAAATGTTCAGCCAAGATTTGGTTATCTGTGTGAAAAGAAACAAGCAATTCATCTCACTAGTACACAAATTTGCTTTTGCTTTTAATAAATGATAAAAATTGTATGCACATAAGGTATTGTTTGAAAATAAATTTCTTCATGAGTTTTTACCAGTAAATGTTTAGTTTGTATGCCTATTTTATATGACTGTGTATTCTGGAGTTGCATAAAAATTTCTCAAGCAAAAGATGTCAAGTGGAGGAGGTTTAAGAAGATTTACAGCGGCTCCAGAGTGGCAATATTTGAAGATGAGCCTTCTGAGGAAATACATAAGTTACATAAGGTCATTATGAAAGGATCTTGTTCAGTAGTGATGTCCTCATAGAAGACCCTGCCTCTGGGGAAATCCATGTGAGCACATGACAAGAAGATTGCTATGGGAAAGTCAGGAAGACAGCTTGAACCAGACACTGAATCAGTAGAACCGGATCTTGGAATTCTAGTTGGAAGAACTACGAGAAGACATCTATGACCATACCACCCAGGATGTCCTGGACCTCAGTGAACTGAGAAGATAAATTCTGTTTTGTTTTGCTTTGTTTTTAACACACCCATTCTTTGGCACTTTGCCATGATAGCCCTAGCCAATTGATACACACAAGAGGGCAGCAACTCCCCTTTTCTTTTTCCAGTCCCCAGAGTGTAAGAAGCAAGCTTCAGCCACAAGACCCCCTTTCTCTGGCCCTGTCACTGCTTCCAGATGTAAAGTACTGAGGAAGTTTGTTCTCTAGGGTAAGTACCCGTGAGCTCAGATGGCTTGGTCATGTGGAACAAAATTCCCCTAACATGCACAGATCTTCTTCCTGGCATAGGGCATCATTGTAACAGTCCCCAGCCTTTTGTCTGAGAGAAGCAGGGTTCTATTACACCAGATGTTCTTCCCTATTATAATAATTATTGAATAAAAGCTTATCCTCTCCATAGTATCAATTTCACAGAATGATCTGTTTTGCATTCTCAATAGTAGAGCTGGTTGAACTCAATCTTTTGCTTTCTCTCTCTCTCTCTCTCTCTCTCTCTCTCTCTCTCTCTCTCTCTCTCTCTCTCTGTGTGTGTGTGTGTGTGTGTGTGTGTGCAATATCAAATGTTCAGCCAAGATTTGGTTACCTGTGTGAAAAGAAACAAGCACATTCATCTCACTAGTACACAAATTTGCTTTGGCTTTTAATAAATGATAAAATTGTATGTACATAAGGTATTGTTTGAAAATAAATACAGAGAGAGAGAGAGCACATCAGACAGACAGATAAATGATAGAGAGACAGACAGACAGATAGACAGCACATACATGCATGTACTTTAATACAGAAATTGGAACCTTGGCAGGTGGGAAGATCAGATCAGAAGAATGATCAGAGCCGTGGACACAAACTCTGAGCATGCTTCCAGTCAGTTGATCATTTGAACTGATTAGTGACATCATTCTAGGTCGACACTGAAGGTATTCTGTTTTGTTTTTTTTTTATTTTATTGAGTGCTACATTTTTCTCTGCTCCCCTCCCTGCCTTTCCCCTCCCCTACTGAAGGTATTTTTAAGTGGGATTAACATATAGATTATTCTCTGTCTTTGGGTAGGCTTCATTTGGTTCTCTGGAAGCTGGAATGAGGTAGGGACTCCTTGTCTTTTTGCATTCACTATTATTATTTTGAAAAGCATTGATGTTGCACTAACCAACAGTTTCCATCTTCTATTGTTGAATAGTCTGTTGTAGGCCAATTTATTAACCTGTTCATCTGTTGCTAGAAATTTAGTTTGTCTTCAGCTTGGGACTATTGTGAATATAGCTGCTACAAATATTTGTATTCAAGTAGAAATAAAATAAAACAAGATGGGCTTTCTCCAAGAACGAGAATTCTGCTAACAAATAGGCTTTACCCTACTAAAACCTTAGCTTTCTCTGACTTTGCAGCCTGTCAACTTACCTTGTAGAATCCGCAATTCTCCCTGGTCACATGATCTCATACCTATATCTTAATATAGACCCCCCTCTTCCTTCCCTCACCCCTTTCATCTCTAGCTCCCATTTCCACTCCCAAACCCACTTAAGCTATTTCTGCATCTCATTCTTTGTGTTTTCCTAGAAATCCCTCAATACAGGAAAATTCTATAAAACTGGCAAATTGCTTCTTCCCACTAATAAAGTTTCCTTTCTCTGCCATGAGAAAGCATAGCTTGTTGGTATAAAGAAAACACTGAAGGCTTAGGAGTCCCTGTTTTCAAAGAGCCAAAATGTAAAAATTTTGGGAAAGAAGGAATGGCTAGAAAATGTTCAAAAATTTTAAATTCATTACAAGTTTTTCTGTCGCATAATTTTAAAAATCCCTTTCTGACTTGTGAGCTCCCTAAGTGTCCACTTGAGGAGATCTGGAGCCCAGGCAGCCTGTCGCTCTCCTGACATTGCCCATCTGTTACTTCATCAAAATATCTTCAGCCTCCAAGTCAACACAATGTTAGTTAGAGCTCTTAAACGGATTATGCGTGCGAGTTACGAGTAAAGCATGGCATACAAATGACATAATTCTGGTGCTAAATTGTAATTGTTTTTGCCAGCAGCTACCTACACCCCAAAGCTGTCAAGACTGCTGTTGATGGATCCCAGTTTCCTGCCCACCCGTTTCCCAGGGCAATCATTCTTCAAAGGATGACAGGCGTCTCTCACGCAGATTAGCGACACTTCTACCACAGCCTACAGAAAACAGGTAGGGTATGATCAACACCTCACCTCAAGGAGGAACAAGCTTTTATGGTGCAATGTGTGTGCCACTGCACCCCTGTGCTTGCTGATCAGGCTCAAATTACTCTGTGCCCGAGATCACGTCCTATTTATTCTTTCCCCTCCTTCCTGTGTTTCTTCATGTGTCAAAAATGCTTGCTTGGAAGAGCATCCCTCCCGACGAGGCCTGTATAGATGACTCTTTTTCCTAGGACCCTACTGTATATCCACTATGCTTATTGCTTATATCCAAAGAAATAAAGAAATACATAGAACAAATTTCCCATCACGTATGCGAGATAAGGGCAGTGTACTGACAGGGCTGAAACCAAAGCTGGGAGGTCCCGAAAGCAAGGGCACAAGCAGCGTGTTGGCAATGCAAATGAAAAGATTATTCTACAGTCTTTCACCTTAACACGAGATTATAAGCAGAGTGATAACATACACAAAGCAGGCCAAGTATACTCATCTTATGCCAGTTTCACTTGGCCTGGGGACAACTGCCACCTCCACTGGGCTGGAACAGTGGCCCAGTCCAGGCTCCAGACTTACTCCCCTCCTTGCTTGTACTGCTAGCTAGTCTCAGTCCTCTGCGGCCTGCGACCCTGAGTGCTCCTGAGACGGCGCCTGGCAATGTCCCCAGTTGGAGCCAGGTTGTGATGAAGCGGGGTACCCTGAGCTAGTGTGGCAGCTGGATACCCTGGCTGCTTCCACTTACCTCCACCCTAGCCTTTGGTACAGACTCCCTTTCCAGATTGCGGCTTCTGCTTCTATCACCTTAGTTCAGCTTCTCCTAGCCCCAGACTCTGTGAAGCCTGAGTTCAAGTTTCAATTTAGTTTCAGTTTTGGTTTTAATCTTGTTAAAACAGGAAGAGGAGTCCCAGCCAATCAGATTCAGGATGACCTAACCCTCTTCTGGCTGACTATAAAAGGAGGCTGGGAGGTCCACTCAAGAGTCTTAGCCATTGTGATGTCTGGTTGACTGACTCCAGAAAACGGGAATGAGAATAAACAACATTCTTGCAGATTACGTATGTGGGTGGTTGGTCTTTGTTTTGTGGGGTGATCTGCAGACTCTTAACAGATGGTACTACATAGGATCTTTGCAACTGTTTCAGCCCTCTTTAAGTAAACATTAAACAACTCAAAGTTCTGAGGAGACATCAAGCAATAGCTACTATAATAAATAAATGAACTAAAGTAAAATTTTTGGCTTGTTCCAGTTTTATAAACAACCTTCCTGGCTCCAGTACATTTTCAGACTGCTTTAGGATGCTAACAGCGGACTGTGGAGGATTAGGTCTTGGTTCCTTTGCTGCAGCTGTTTTTTAACAGGGCAAAGATGATACAAAAAGAGGAAGTGATTTGGGTGTACCAATTAAATTTTCTTTTAAAAATAGTAGTTAGCATCTAGAGTACACAAAGAACTCAAAAACTCCAAGAAAATAAATGATTCAATTAAAAATGGAGTTCAAAGCTAAACAGAGTGTTCTCAAAAGATGGCCAAGGAAGCCTTTGAAAATGTTCAACATCCTTAGACACTAGGGAAATGCAAACTAAAACTACTTTGAGATTTAATCTTATCCCTGTGAAAATGGCCAAGATAATAAAACAAATGACAGCAGATGCTGGCAAAGATACTGGGAAAGGGGAACACTTTATTCGCTTTATTCGTTCCTGCTGGGAATGAAAACTGGTACAGCCTCTATGGAAATCAGCTCGATCATCATTAGAGAAGCCTCCTTAATTAAAACTGAGATCCACGACTTGACAGTGTGCAGAGACTGATCAACTTTGGAATCTTCAGCTCCAAATGGAATATCGTGATCACCTCCTCTACTCCAGACTCGGGGATCTGTGAAGAAGAAGTGGAAGACTGTAAGAGCCAGAAGTAGTAGATGACTCCACGGAAACAATGTTTTGCCAGATAAAGCAAGACTAACACACATGTGAACTCAAGAGTCTCTGAGAGCCTGACTTGTGCAAATTTAAGACAGACAAAAATCCCAGCATGGAGAAGGGGAAGTAAGTACAAAGTCCCACTCCTAACCAAGAAATCGTTTGCAAATGGGTAGCTTCTTTTTTTTTAAATATTTAATTTTTTTATTTTCGAGACAGGGTTTCTCTGTAGCTTTTTGGTTCCTGTCCTGGAACTAGCTCTTGTAGTCCAGGCTGGCCTTGAACTCACAGATATCCGCCTGCCTCTGCCTCCCGAGTGCTGGGATTAAAGGCGTGCGCCACCACCGCCCAGCTGGGTAGCTTCTTATAGAGGGAGAAACGGGTTTTCTTTAGTGGACTGGCACTGGGTCTAGCCAGTGTAGACCATATGCAAAGGAGCAGCTGGTTGATCAACTCCCAATGGACCTCCTCCAGTTTGTTCTGGATGATGTGCTTCCATTAGTTTGCTTTGTTTTTGTTTTTAAGAGAGAGAAAGACCATTAAATTGGTAAATAAGGAGGAAAAACAGCGTGATCAAAACATGCTGCATGAAAAAAGTTTCTAAAATATATTTATTTTATTGTCATTTTCATTAAAAATGCTAATGCATTCTAAATCAAAATGTAAATATATGTATTCTCCTCTTCCCTTTACCCCTTCAGTCCCTCCTAAGTCCCCTTCTCCAATTTATTCCATGTACCAACCTCTCAAATTCATAGTTCCTTCTTCCCTAATTATTATTGCTAAATAAATATGCACAAACATATAAATAAAACCTATTATGTCCATTTTGGTTGTGTGTATGTATGGATTCAGAGTTGTCTGTTTTGAATTGGACAGTTAGGAGACTCATCCCGGGGAAAGGCTAACCCTTTGTCTCTCAACAGTTGTCAGTTACATGTAGTTGCTTCTCCAGTGACCTGACACCATGAAATTACCCTGCTTCTGCATTATTGTGTCTACTGATATTGCCATTATTCAGATCTCGTTTATAAAACCATTACTGTAAAAAATGTTTCACAGAAGACTTTCTGGTATTCTGGCTCTTATTCCCCGAGTCATAGATGTAGGAGTTGTGATGTAGATATAACCATTGGTGCTCGGGCTGTTATCCTGATACTGTATCCTTCAGTTGTGAATGTTAACTGTAAAAGGAGGTGGACATCGCTGTGGTTGTGCCTCACCATCAGCATCTTTATAAAGGGATGGAGACATCGCTGTGGTTGTGCCTCACCATTGGCATCTTTATAAAGGGAGGGAGACATCACTGTGGTTGTGCCTCACCATTGGCATCTTTATAAAGGGAGGGAGACATCACTGTGGTTGTGCCTCATCATCAGCATCTTTATAAAGGGAGGGAGACATAGCTGTGGTTGTTCCTTCCCATCAGCATAGAGATCAAAGTTACACTTTTTTTCCAACAAGTAGATGATGGGCAGGAAAGGGCAGATTAGACCTAGGCAAATCAGTTAGTAGCCAGTTTTGAAAAAAGAGGAGGCATAACAGTAGGTACCAAGGAAGAAATAATCTATGAGAGATGTCATCAGTCACATGACATGGTGACTAGACATGCGTGATCAGAGGATGCTGACTCTCATGAATCTGACAAAAAAAAAGATGGAGAAGAATTAATTTTGTTAGTATGTATTTATTTTACAAAGCCATTTGTTTTGCTTGACACTTTTATATGAATACTCTGGTCATGTTTACTATCCATTCTGCATGCTATCCTTGCTCCTTTCCTTGCTAGGCCCCGGGCTATTGGCCAACAGACCTCTTAAAACTTAAAAACAACTATTTTTAAATGTTCATTCCAGTTATATTTTTTTCTTCCTCGTTGGAAATTCTCACCTTCTCATGGTCCCCTACCCTGCTTCAAAATTCCACACACGTATATGTATATAAATTAAATCTAGGTTTCCTCTGAGAGAGAAAATTAGAGTTATTTGTCTAAGTCTGGTTTATTTGACTCAGCATAATGATTTCAAGTTCCTTCCATTTCTCTTGTAATTTTAATTTATCTTTAAGGGTGAATAAAGATCTACTGATTATATGCAGCGCATTTTCTTTCATTGTAGGTTTGAAATTTAATATGTCTTTACTGTATTTATAAAATTCTCCCTTCTCTATCTTACCTCTCACTTCTCCTGTGTTCCCAAACTCCTCAAATTGGTGATCTCTTCCTTATTATTGCTATATAGATATATATGAATAAATACATAAATATAGCCTGATCAGTTCATTTAAATGTTGCTCATACATATATATTTTTCAGGCTGACAACTTAGTATTGGATAACCAATTAGGGAGCTCATCCATGGAAAGACTGATTCTATGTCTCTCCACCATCATTAATTGCTTGTGGCTCTTCATCTAGGGGTGAGTTAATGTGAGGTTTACCCTATGCACCATCTTTTCTTGCGGCGAACTCCCTGACCAGCAGGAAAGAACAGCCACCAGACGAGGATTCTTCTCAAACCACGCTTTATTGGAGCCTCTCGGTTGAAGGGACAGCAGAAAGCAAGGGGCCCCGAGCTGTGAGCTGCAGCTGCTTATATAGGGAGCCTGCCTAGCAACCTTTGATACTTCAACTGCTTCTCTGGAGACCCACTGGCCGGAAAGAAAACAAACATCCTTGTCAATTACAGACCACAAGGAAGTTCCCCTGCCAGTCAGGGGGAGTGTGGGCAGCTAGATCACAACAACTCACCCTGTTTTCTGGTGGAAGAACTATAACCTTTATTATGGGAACGAATCGTGCCTGAATTGGCCGATGTGCGCCTGCCGATGCTCCTGGCCACGAGAGGCACGGTTCCACTGCATTGCCTAATATGAAGTTATTTATCAAGCGAGTCCGGGGCCAAATGCCATCTTGTAATGGCGGCCACTCAAATCGGCTCCCAGCATTTTCTTCCTCCGTTAATCAATTGCTAGACATCTAGTTCAGTACTAGTTCTGTGAAGTATAGCAAAACAATAAGCATGGATGCGCAAGTGTCTTTGTGGTAAGGTTTATTAGAGTCCTTTGCATATATACCCAGGAGGGGAAATTGTATTGCATGGTAATTCAAGTTTTAATATTTAGAAACTTCTAACTGATTTTGTAGTGGCTGCACAATTTTCCACACATACCCCCTTACTCTACATCCTTGCTTTGCATTTGTTTGCTTGATGGTAGCATTCTAACTAGGGCAAGATGGAATCTCAAAGTAGCTTTAATTTGCTGTTTCCTGGTGGATAAGGATGGTAATGTTTTCAGATATTTATTGGCCATTTGTATTTCTCCTTCTGAAAACTATCACTTTACTTCACTAATTCGGTGAGAAGGTATTTTTTTTTTTTTTTGGTGTTAGTATTTGCAGTTCTTTATACATTATAGACATTAACTCTATCTGCTATACAGTTGACAAAGATTTTTATCCCCATTCTGAGGGATGCCTTGTCATTTTGTTGATTATTTTCTTTGGTGTGCAGAGCCTTTTTAAATTTCATTCAATCCCATGTATCTCTCTGGAGGCTACTGTTGACTACCTCCTGACCACAACAGCACAGCAGAGTGATGTACCTTTGTGAGTGACTGTCTTCTAGGCCAAGCAACTACCACTTGGGGGGTACTGCTCTGCTCCCTTTCAAAGAAGATCAACTTAGCTGGGCTTGTTGGTGGTTTATGTTCTTCATGGAGATGTTAGAGGGGTCTTAAGATCCTCACATGAGTGTCTCCTCTCTTTACTGCTTATTATACACAGCTCTGACTTAATTGCATGTGTCCTCTGGAAGGGGCTAGAGAATATAGGTACAGACGGACTAGGTAGAATGACTTCATTTCAGCTACAGTGAAGCTCTCCTCCCTGCTGCATAAAGTGGCTTTAGGTATTTGGGGCAGTATGGC